AGATCAGTGACTGATTAGATTAAAATCTTATCCAAATATTTTTATCATGTTTGCGTGATCTTGCTATCAGCAATAAAAATTATGCTAAATAAACTTATCGAAACGGCTTTACATAATAGTATTGTTATGATGTGAGATATATTTTTTATACTCCAAATGTCCTTTTGTTAATAAATTTCTAAAAGATTTTTAAAATAAGTTATTTACAACTTTATTAGTATAAAGTTTATAAAAATACCCTGCATACTACAACATAAGTTTAGCGCCGTCGAAAATTGCATAAGCAAAGGTGCTTGTAGAAGGTTCTGCAGCAACTCTAAAATATACGAACGAAAGATATTTGCTCCTCCTTTATCATAAGGAACTTTATAAAGACAATTAATAAAAAAATATTATTTAAAAACTTGAATAAAAAATTTCTCATTCCATTGATCAACTTCTTGTTGGTTGAAGGTCTTAAAAATATTATGCTTAACTATTATTATTACTTTGTCTCATATATCTATGATAAAGTTTTTGTATTTGCACCAAATGAAACACATTTACACTCTTTATGTTTCTTCTTTCTACTTTCAGTTGCAAACAATTAAAAAACTTTTTAACTGAATATTCGTATTGCATCAATTAATAGCATGGTCTATTATCTTACTATAAGTTGTTTCAAACAAAAAAAGGAAGTGTTTTTTAACTGCGTTGAAATGTTGAACTATCGGTTTACACTTCATCTTTTTCGTACCTAGCCCACGCCTAACGTCTGTAGACCAATCGTGAATGTCTAAAATGTCGACCAACAAAGCGTTTTGTAATCCCACAAACAGTTTTAGTATTAAAAAAATCTGTTCTCAATACAATGATACTCCTTTCGCTGCACATTAGTTACCGTTTGGCAAACCTAATAATATATACTAGAGTGCAAGTGTCATCGGATCTTCGCAGGTGACAATCGATACCCATGAGACATCGCGCGGTCAGTATAGCGGTTCCAACCTGACCGGAAGTTAATATTCATTGTATACAAAATTCTATAATACAATATTACGATATGGCTTTGAAAGCTTGATGTATTGCTTTGTTTTCCAACACAACGCTCGCTGGGTGTTTTTCGTTACGTGGTCTGTATTCTAAATCCTTCTAAAAGCCAAAGAATTCAAGCATAAAGAAGGCACAAATCAGAAACACCTACATTGTAGGACCGTAATAAATTGAGGTAGTCCCCGTCTGTTTCGGAAGTCCATATCCAAGGATACAGGACATGATTCTACCTGATATGTACTAGATTTGCTATCGTCGCGTGTTCAATTGCTAACACCTTGAACTATGTACCTTTTACGTACGTTTGAATGTGGGCTTGTTCTAATTATAGCTTTAATTGAAATCATTTATAGATCACGACTGGAATCTTAAGGCAATAATATTATTGACATTTGTTAACCATTGGTACTTTGAATAAGTAAAATTTAAGGTTAATGATTTAGAGAATATATATTTGTTTATATAATTGTAGGTAATAAAATGTATTATCATCATTATTATTATCACGTCATGAAGATTTGAGCGATGATTGGAGTTTTAATTAAAAAAATGATGTTCAATATTTTTCACTACTATAAAATTCTGTACTTATATGCTATATATATAAATACTAATATTTTTTTTTCTTCACATGGAGTACTGAAAACTCCAACCTTTTCATTATTAAAAGTTTATCGCATCTTATTAAAGAGCTTTAAGCTATTGCGAGTAAAAAGTGTGAGAGATGTATATATAGAGAGATGAAGTATGAAGAGAAATGTCTATCAAATAAACTATCCCTTCAAAAATAAGTCGTAGATAGCATCGTAATAACTTTCACGACCGTGACGAAGCATTCTACACGCACAGTATTCACAGTAGGGCATTTTAATTATGATAAAAATCCTACACAAATTGTCGTAGTCTATTTTGTGATAAACTAATACTTTAATTTTTTTAATACACATTTTCGCTGCAATAAGTGATAGCGGCTCCATTGTACTCATGCTTCTTAACAAATTGTAGCTTTTTCTTGTATCCAAATCGTGTGCATTGTGTACTGATTTTCCTGTTCTGTGGATTTATCTTGCCCTACAAAGGGAATTTTAGAGTAACGGTTTTCGATTAATTGTTCGTACAGATTTGATACTATTTAAGATGAATTGTCATTTAAACTATTTTTAGACAAACCAGTGGCGCTATAACTGTATAGGCCTTAAATTTCGATTTTCAGTGATCATTTGTGTTTGTCTACTAGGCAAGTATTTGATGAGCCTTCTCCTAGCCTGACACACGCCGTCCACGTTTTGGACATAAGGTATCCTGGTTTCCACACAATGGGGTCCTTCACGAACTAGTGCTAAATACTTACATACAGAGTACATTGGTGCACAGCCCGCGACTTCAATGATGACTCTTTCGCTAAAGCCACTAGGCCAACACTGCACGAACCCATTTTTTAGCATGCAATATAATTTAACGATTAATAAACAGAGACAATATTGGTAGTAGAACAACTATATTAACAATTACTTTGCAGATTTAATATTAAAAAATATCATTAAAAAAGGATTTTTTAACTTTGTATTTTTTTTGTCCGTTTTAGAAGTCCCGAGTTATAGCCACGCCCGCCACAATTTACGAGCAAAATCGTAAGTAATTAATTCACTAAATATAATAGAAAACATAGAAGAGATGAAAAATATATTGCCATTAAGTGAAAGTTATATCTTCTATTCAAAAAGTGATTGATCCACAAAATGCAATAACAGATCAAGGCGTGATAAAGAAGGCACGACTGCAATAGACAACTAATTTCACTGTTATTATAGATTATCGAAATGATTGTGTTTTTTAGGTCTAGAATTTTTTGGATCATATTTCATGGGTTAGAAATTGTAAAGAATTCTAGTTTATTTGTAACAAAACAATTTAGTTGATCGACCAAACGCAAAATACGAACAAAGTAGTATTTTGAATATGGAACGTTTGAGAATTTTTATCTTTTGGATTTAAAAAGTAATACATATGTTTTTTAATGTCCTTGACGATACTAAATAGAATAGATATAATATTAGTCCTACATATAAATTGGCGTTTTTTGAACAAAATCGAATATTTTTAAATATAATATATTTAATTAATCAAAGTATGAACCATTGTTTTCTATGCACTTTTGCCATCTCAAGATTGATTTGGTTTAAAATACCTTCATTATTTGCCGTTCAGTTGTAACGCAAACTCCGGTTGCTTCAATCAATTCATGAGGTACTAAGTTTCTTCATGAATTAAATTTTCACTACCGCAGCCACTAACTCGGACTGGTTTGCGATAGATCCGCTTCCACAATAGCCTTCAATATTTCTTTATCAACTTGGGTCTCAGCCTCCACGGTGTTTGCATCAATTTCCAAACGAAAACTTGGAACCAAAACACTGTTTTTCTTTTGCAACATGACCGCAATATCACAGTACTCGTAAATATGCATACTTTAAGTTTTCCATTTTGTAAAATAACAAACAGAAAAACAGAAGAAAAACAAGAGTATGAAGCACAAATACATGAGTAAATAGCTGTACAAATTTGAATTTGGAATTCCTTACCAAAGAGGAGAACATCGTGATTAAAGTGGCCAGTACGAAATACGCCAATTTCATATGTAAGGACCTAATATATGGATTTAAGTGATTTTCATGGCTTTTGCAAATATTGTCACCTTGTTTTGTTTTTTTATTTATGTTTCCATATGACAACAAACTGTATTATTTTAAATAGATGTTAGTGTGAGATTAACCTGAATATGTCATGTAATGAAGCCCTATTTCCGTAATATATCTCCTTTCTAACGGTGTTTAATATCTGTACATAATGATACTCGCTTTTTGTCCGTCATACTATTAATTTCCTATAATGAGGTAGGAAACTAGACAAGATTTTTTTAAGCGTAATCCACCGCAAATCATAAATTGCAATGTGTTTTTGCCTTGTACATTTTGGTCTATTACACTCATAATTTTGTTTATAGTCAAATAGGTGCTTACTTTGCACCACTTGATAAACTCTCAGACCTCTAATATTACTTTACCATTTTTCATTTAATTCATAACCAAGTATTTTTCTCTAAGAGTTTACATATATTGAATTATATTGCATGACACAATTGCAATAATGGCTGGTTTTGATATAGGTATAGCTTATTTTAATGCAGGCAAAGTGTAATCTGGAAGCTAGGATTTATTTTCTCAGTGACGAATGTTCCTTCACGGCTTAGCATACCGATGGGCACCTCTTTGATGCGAGAATAATCGGTCATCGATCACGACTAAGGAATGCGTTTAATTCATATTACCCGAATCACAATGATACGCTAAAGGTGTGATTAACAAATAATTTCCTTTATTTTTAATTTTTAATACTAATTACAGGAAGGTAAACGACGACCAAACCCTAAAAAGATTCAGTTTTTTGACAATTAATCATTAATAATTTACATTTAAATACTAGTAAAATAATGCTTTGCAATGTAACAAACACATATTGGAGTTAATTATATGATTGTAATTACTAACAAGCCTGTGTCCTTTTAAGGGATTAATAGAGTTGAACATGTCTGGATGCCTGAAAAACTGAACTCGTACACAACATATAGTGGTAAAGATTTTTGCTCAATCTGATTGTTCTTATCACTGTATTTATGACTTTGAAAGTGAAACAAGTCATTACAGCAAACCCATAATGCATTTAAACATAATTGTAACAAGGTTATGGGACCTTTTTGTGTATTTGTGACTCTAGAAGAATTATGGTTTTCTTAACACCTAGCGTAGTTTAATTTGTTTGATCCGCTACCTAATGGGCTTTTCTACCATACACACAGTTTTTTCGCCTGTGTGTTCATGGATTTGTATTATTTCGGGTGCAAATTCTAAGTAATGATTAGACCTCCGGCGATTACTGTAGCGTGACGCCTGCGCCGGCGCAGTGCCGCTATGTCTGTGTGGTGCGGTGCGCGCATTTTGCCGCTCGATAGGCGGGTGTACTCCATCACACTTGTGGTTTGTTGTTTTACATATAAAAAATATTTTGGTATAAAAATAATGTTATAAGTGTTGGTGCAGTTGTAAAAATGTATTGAAAGTGTTCGAAAGTTTTGGGTACAATTCATGTCAAGGAATTTGAGAATGTTTTGTTAAGTGTGAGAGGAGCCTGTTTCCCAGAAATAACAATAATGAAAAATAAATCAAAATGATTAGACAAAATTTCTATGATCTACCATAAATATTGTCAGACTAGTTTAAATCTCAATTACTTCTCCAATTGTAAATAGTCAATTTTTTAATAAATCTTTTGAACGAAATAAGAACTATAAATATTAAAAATAAATTAACTTGTGTTATCAGTTTAAATCTAATTTTGTAATACAATTATTTGGTTAGTTTTAAATTTGTTCGCGTAGATAAACAGCAGGATCTTTATATTTTATTTAAATAAATAAGAATAATTTCGAACTATAATAACTTCTGTTACGAAAATGTTTATTTATGCATTCCTGGTCAAATAGTTAAAACCTAAGTTTCTAGTGCTAATGAAATCTAAGCTTCCACCTTTCTCCAACCTGTCAACTCTAACTAATTGGACAAGTACTATCTATCAGATAAGTGAGGATGGAATTGCTTTCGGACTTATGAATAGATTTATCTTGTTATAACTCTCATTATACTTAACGCGATATCTATGTTTAATCGAAGCTGATTAACGAAACTATAGTGAATCAAAACTATCCAGTTAATATTGAAAAACAATAGCCGAAAAGTATTATTTCAAATATGAAATGTTGTCTTATATATTTCAACTAACAGACCGGCCCAGCGTTGCTGTGGCTAAGGTTTTTGTTATATTACATAGTAGCAAATATTTTGCAATAAAATAATATTGCGGGTAGAAATTGAGATGTAAGCTATCCTATCTTTTAAGTTGGATCAAACTACACACGGTGTGCAAATTTGATTGATATCGGTTCGGTAGTTTAGGAGTCCATAGCGGACAAACAACGTGACACGTAATTTATGTATATTAAGATAGAACATATACAAACGCAAGACTGCGCCTGCCCAAGAAGATGTTCATTTTATGTCTGTGGTCGAAATTAAGAACTCCCCCGCAACGCCAGAAGTCACTGGAACATGTAGGACTCGACCCACTCCAGGCTCAGTCAGGGGTGTGTAATACCCAGTAAAATTACCTCAAGTACTTCGCAACCAGGCCTACTTGGACCACTTCCGCATTCTACCGTGCTACCGGCTATGTGGTAGATGAGATTTAACTCTTTTTGTACTAGTTGGTCTGCATAAGGCTAAGGCTGAAATGTGGACAAATTTTTTTACCAAAGTATATCTAACGCTAAAAATCAATTTACCTGTAAGTTTTTCAATTAATTTAAATCAGGAAGTAAATTTTAATGTAGGCACGGTCTCTTGAGAATTTTCATTCGTATCGCATTCACAATGCAGCGTAAAGATACGATTATACTTCGATAAAGGTTTTTATAACGTAATGTAGAACAGGTAGGTTTGAGTATTTCCCGCGAAAATTATTAAATTAAACTTTGCTAATGTAACTAAACTCTATATTATGTACAACAGAATGACAGGAAATGTCATATAAAAAAATAAACAAATTTTCTTTAGTGCCAGTACTTTTGCGCCACCCAGTATTACCTAAGTATTTTTAATAAACCCTTATTCATAATTGTAGCCTAGCAAACCAGTCTCTTTACGATATAACAAATAAAATACCCATACATTATTATAATTTATTTCGAATGAAGTTTTAAATGTAGAAAAAGGTAGTTTTTTATTTTATAAAAAATCTTCAAATTTCAAGGTTTGCATTTCTTATAAGCACAAAAGCTATCGTAACTAAATCACTTAGTTCTGTCGTCAAGTTCGTGAGCAAAAAAGTTTTAGAACGACCGTGAAAATTCCGAACACGATCGCAGTGCGAATGAACTTCCCTTGAGTGCCACTGCGCAAATTTTAAGTTTATTTGTTAGTTTGGTTTATTCCTTTGTAAACCTTAAACATAGATATTGATAATAACTTTGATTATTGAATCTGAGAATTGAATATTTTTCTATAAAGACTCACTCGCGAGTATCATCTTGACTTTATTTAGCAAGTAAAGATACTATAATAGTAATAAAAAGATATGTTAACTTGTATAGCTTCCATAGATACTAGCCCTAGGTAATGTTCGTAAAGCGCTTTCGATTAAAAAGCCTAGTAGTTTGCGGTGATGAGTATGGATATGGAGAAATAATCGATTTAAATACAGAAAAGTATCCCAGTATTTATAATTTGACAAAAAAATGGACAAACAGATAAAATGGCACTAACGTTTTTTGTAATTTGTCCACAGATAGATCCAAACACAGCATTTCTTCGAGCAGCGAGAGCTGGGCAGCTAGATTCAGTCATCGATTTATTGGACTCTGGCGCAGTGAATGATATTAACACATGCAATTCAGTAAGTCCTTTAAAATTATTTTATATCTAAAATCCATCTTTGCAGTTAATGTAATTCCTACAATAAATTTATATGTGAATTCCCAGTAAGGGCTTCTATTTAGTTTGATTTTGTTTGTTAAATTTTTCTTCTATGCTCCACAACCAGCCCCGCGTGCGGTTGAATGCGTTTTTCTCAGAACTCTTTTATTTGTCCGATCGTTCGGTACAAACAAAATATTAATTTAAATACTAAATAGTTACTTAATCGAACAAATCCATTAATAAATTTAAAAATATATATATATACCATTTACCAGTGGCGTTACAACTGGCGGTTTGCCTCATATTTTTATGTCTGTTTCGTGATATTGTTTTTTTTTCTTTATGGGAAAGTAGGTTACATCAACCTGCTGTGCCTGACACACGCCGTCGAATTTTTGGGTCTATGGCATGCAAGGTTTTCTGAGATGTTTACCTTCACCGTACGAGCGAGTGTTAAATACATAGACCGAAAGTCTGTTTGTGCACAGCAGGTGATTCAACCTACGACCTCAGGGATGTGGAATTTTTAAAGGCTATAAGTATTTCGTCGCCTAATGATTTGCTAAAAGACGCTTAAAATGCACTCCAAAAAGTTCGTATAGTGGCCCAAAGGTTGAAGCAATAAATTGAATTTCTATCAGTTTTATTATATTATGTCAGGCTTTTCCGGGTTCAAAGTACAATATTAATGCATGACGACCTAATAGGCTAATAAGTGGGTCACCGTACCATCCCTCTGACGTCATGTTAACATTACGGAAGCATGGTTATAATTGCTTGTTTTTCTATTGTATTTCTTAATAGACAAGTCAAGTCAATAATCAATAGGCTTGAATATACTTAATTTGCTAAATTAAGTAGATAAAAGTATATTTATTTTTAAATTTTGCTGAATTAATTAAAAATTCTGCTGCCTGAGGTCGCTGGTTCGATCCCCGGATGTGGACCAATGGACTTTCTATGTGCGCATTTAACGCTCGCTCGGATGATAAAACATCGTGAGGTTGACGGTGAATGTTAGGCAAAGAAGCTGACAACCTACTTGCATATTAAAACAAATGATCATAAAATAGACAAAGAAGTTCTGAGGCTCAGATCTTTATGAAACCTATATATATGGAAGTATAGTCAAATTAAAATTTTAAAAATTTTTAATAACACTTAATAAATTTTATAAATTAAGTCTCGAAAAATTTCACGAAAATATATTATAACTCCGGTTCTTCTGTGTTGTCTGACCCAAAGTGTGAATAAAAATATATTTTAAAGATATTAGTAAGTCACCTTCAGAACTCGGAGCTAGACAAAATCAGCTTCCAATTATTACCCCTCTAGTATGCAGTGAGTGCTGTTACATTGGATGACCACATGATTATTAGATGAATTCAGCTGATAGAACTTCCGTAGCGTGCACTTTGGTTCAGATGTTATCGTATTGCATTTATTGTATGAATTAACGTAGTTTGAATAGATTATTATTTAAATACGTTTTTTCTTTCATATTTAAAAAAAATCATTTTTCATTCTTGCGGTGTTTTGCTTACCATCGGTTACATATCTTTCAGTCTAATTATAAAATTCAAATGTTTCATGTTTAATATGATAAAACATTTATTTAAATAGGAAATTTTTCTTAAAATAAAAAGAATAATAATTTATTTTTGTAGAATAAAGTGGTTATTTATAAAACTACGGTTCTCAATATAATTGCGATAACTTTTAAATCAAGGAAATTAAATATAACGTACATTTAAAACTCAAATCACAGCGTGTCTCTGAGCGAGTACATTCATTTCGGAGAAGTTCGAATCAATTGTTTTAACTCAATAACCTTTTGTTTATTAATAAAATTCTTGTCAATGAGCGTTGAGCAATACAAGCGTGATTCTTGTTATATTTGAATGTGTGAACTTAAAATAAAAACAAATTGTTTTTTACTGCCTACAATATTTTATGATAAAAGATATTTTAGTTAAAAGCTATAACAAAATAATAAAATAGTATACTATTTTGTTATATTAGAAGTTTTAAAGTAAATAGTCTAACATCCCATTACAAACATTCATATGTAAAACATTGCCAAAACGAGACCACTGTCAAATAGTTGATGTCATAAAGAGCCTAGATTCTAGGGGTGAATTTTAAAGTCCGGACTCATGCTGAGAGACTTCCGTATCTCAAAAACTTATTGGATTTGTCAAACGAAAGTCATTCTTAGCTCTAGGTTTTATTTTAAATAAAAAAATTCTTAACTGTTCACATAAACTATACCTTAAAAATATCTGGTTTGGCCATTTCGTTACATTGAGAAAGACCATACGGTGAAATAATTACTAACTGTTCATACCTTTTCTATTATACAAAACTTAACTCACGAATGTTATCATGTAATTATCTCATTTATAACATGGATTAGTACGACACGTCCTTGACTGAAACGTTTTCTTCCGTCCTATCGCGTTAAGCGTTAGATCCTCTTACGATCGCTTGCCGGTGTTATGCGAATCTAAAAATAACTAGCGTTTTAAATATTTTTTATTTATTTATTATATTTATTATAGCCTTATATCAGAATACAAAATATATACATTATAACTGTTATTTTCCTTAATCTATGATAACTGATTCTGTGTGCCTACGGGCAAAGGCCTCCCCCATTGTCCTCCATTTTTCTTTATTGTAAACCAATCTCGTCCAGGTCTTAGTCTTTCCTGCCATTTCCACGATTTCATCAGCCCACCTCTTAAATTGCCTCCCTTTGTTTCTTTTGTGGCCTCTTGGTTGCCATAGTGTAACAATTTTGCTCCATTTTTCTGCTCCTCTTATGGTATGTCCAGCCCATTTCCATTTTAGTGCTTTTGTTTTATACACAACGTCAGCAAACCCTGTTTTATCCCTTAATTTTTTGTTACTAATTTTATCTATTCTTCTTTTCTTTATTATGCTTCTTTCCATGGCTCTCTGGGTTACACTTAATCTTTCGCATGCACATCAAGAGAAAACTTTTCAACATATGCATCCTACCAATTCTTACATACGGCTGTCAAACATGGGCACTTACCAAAGCACAATGCGAAAGATTAAGTGCGTTTTAAATATTAACGGAGATTAAACTGTTTTCATTAATTTGCTTTATTACGTATAAAATTTAAAATCAATACATATCTTAGAGACCTAACCCAGAGGAGAGTGAGAAAGAGATCTCTGCATATTTTTCTCTTATCATTTATAAACCCTTCATTATGAACCACAAATCGGTCATCAGAGGTAACATACCTCATTCCGTTACAATACGTAGCTGTGGTATTAAAGTGTTGTTATAATTAACATCAAAGGACTTAAAACGTAATTTCATAATATGTAGAGCGTTTGATTAAATGAACAATTTTCAGAATGGATTGAACGCGCTTCACTTAGCCGCCAAAGACGGCCACATTTCAGTCGTAGAGGAGCTTTTGAAGCGCGGTGCTACTGTCGATGCGTCTACAAAGAAAGGTAAACTCATATGCACATATCACAATATTATTTGGTGGCTTTATTCACTTGCCTTGCCTGAAAAATGCCTTCCCATGCTTAATTACGGTATGGAATTCATCAATCAGCACCTTGAAATTTGAAAGAGTATATACCAATTCTGGAAGTTTATTTAATTAAAGGAAATAAAAATAGATCATTATATCAGAAAAATTCCCTAACTAATGATAGGCTTAACTCAACTATTTATTTAACCTGTTTCAGGAAACACAGCACTACACATAGCATGTCTCGCTGGGCAGGAATCGGTAGCGCGGGCGCTGCTAGCGGCCGGCGCAAGAGCAGATGCGCAATCAGCGGCAGGATTCACGCCATTGTATATGGCTGCACAGGAAAACCACGCGGGCTGCGTGAAAATGCTGCTAGCCGCTGGGGCTAGCCAGACACTGGCAACGGAGGTAAGCCTAATGAATTTATATAGTAGATATTTAGGTACATTTTTCCGGATACTTTTAAAGTTTCAAAAACATTTATTTGTTTTGAATCACGTTTGGATTTTAGTAGATTTAGGCGCGTATATTTTCAGTACGCTTGTTCATTCTTAAAATATTTGTTTTTTATTAAAATAGTTCATTATTAAAACAGTCGTTGCCTTCCTATATAAGTTTTCTTATTGTACATAATATGTTTATGCAACGAATTGGTCAATAAATACAATATTAAACAAGATTTTTTTTTTAAAGAATCGATAAAATATTCATATATTATGTACAAAATTTCCCAAACATATTATTGTAATTTTATTTTCGCCCTAAAAGACTTTACTTTGAATTTCAGGATGGATTCACACCATTAGCCGTGGCAATGCAACAAGGCCATGACAGAGTTGTGGCGGAATTACTAGAGTCTGACACGCGGGGTAAAGTGCGACTACCGGCACTGCACATCGCCGCTAAGAAGAATGACGTGAAAGCTGCTACGCTTTTATTAGAGGTACCTATGGGGTTTTACTGGTATTAGATTTAATAACCACCGTAATTAATTCATAAATATGATTATATATTATCATTTACTTACAGATCACAGTTTCTGCTTAGTTAATTCGTAATCCTACGGCTAACATTATTTATAACAAAAAACAAATATACTAAAGATTAGCCAAAAATGGAACTATATACAAAAAGGAATACGAAACAAAAACAAAAATTAAATACACTTAGCTAAGTAATACCTAATTCGGCTGTGTTGTGTGACTTTGTGTATGTGGATTGTGCTCATGATGCAGGTTATTGAGCACTATGGCTATTCTTAAAACTATATTATTATTATAACCAGGTTGGTCGCATAATGACTTTCTTAGTAACACCGAAGTTCCAGACTATAGTTCTCTATCTTATAGTCTGAGATAGAGAAGTGACTCCCGCTGAACTATGCTGATCTTCTCATCAGTTACTTTGTCTCTTTTGGTCGTTATAACGGTCACTGTAAATTTGGGAATATCCTCTCTTCTACACCATTTTTTATATGAAAAGTACATACTAGATTTTTACATACTCACGCAGTCATAACAGTCTTAAATTCTTTTACAGTAGAAAATATCAAAATAGTATTACTATCGAATTCCTTTAAATTCCAGTCCGAAGACATCATAGTATTAATAATATTATATATTTAAAGAAGCCTTCCACTATATATCTAAATTTATCATTATAAACCATGTTTTGATGGTTTACTTTCTTGGTATTTAAAATTCATAAAAAATTGCCGTAAATTTCAGAACGAACACAATCCCGACGCTTGCTCGAAATCTGGCTTCACTCCACTCCACATAGCTGCGCACTATGGGAACGTGGGAGTGGCCAAGGCTCTATTGGTGGCTGGGGCGGACTCGGGCAGAGCGGCTAAACATAACATCACACCTCTACATGTGGCCAGCAAGTGGGGCCAGCTGGCTATGGTCGATTTGCTTGTTGAAAATGGTGAGTTAATTGAAAATAATAGGTTATACCAATTCTACAATACCATTTAAAAATAGTCAGAACGTTAATATTATATAAAGTTAATATATTTCAAATGTCCGTACTAAAAAGTATAACTTTTTTGGGAATTAATTGAAAAATAAAATATTTAAATTTACTATTGTAACAGTTGAACTTATCTTACAGTGTCATTAATGTTTCATCAAATATAATTTTCACTTATAATACCAGAAGAGCTTAAAATTATGGTATGTTAAAAATAAAATATTTAAATTTACTATAGTAACAGTTGATACTTATCTTACAGCAACTGTCATTAATGTTTCATCAAATATAATTTTCACAAAATTTTTACACGTGACGTCAATTGAATATTGGTCGATTGACACAAAATTTTTCACAAAAATAGGTTTTATGAAATAATTATCTATATTTTAATAAATAAATATGCTACTATAATTTTTGTGGTTAAGTCTCCTCGGAAGCCAAATCTCGTACGCATAATCTCCCATACTACTGAAGATGATAAGCGCCCAAACCGTACCTCATAAAACAACTCTTCTATGTATTGTAAAATGCACCGTAATACGCAGTAATAAAGCGCTATTTCAATTCACATATTAAATCAGTAATTTCATGGGTGATAAATTTCTGAGTAATATTTTCTTATAGGTGCAAACATAGCAGCAGTGACTCGTGATGGACTGACACCGTTACACTGTGCGGCGCGGTCAGGTCACAGTAATGTGGTATCCAGGTTGCTACAACATGGTGCCCCTATCACCAGTAAGACTAAAGTAAGTGGGGTTAATTACAAATTGGACTTAATCTAATTTGTAACACTATGACGTCAATACTCAGACTATCTATCGGAAGATAGACTGGAATAGTCATAGCTTAGAAAGGGGTCCTAATTTTTATATTAATCGACTGTTAAAAACCCGAAGGAGGTATCAATTCGACGTGTAATTTCATATATAAGTTTTCGACTTCTGGTTTTGTGAAAATTCGTAACGAACAAGTTACGGACGTTTTATTAACAATTAAATAATAATTCTACACTCCATATGAGAGAATAAAATACACTTTTCCTTTACTATTCGGATTCGTTGATTCAATCTGAAATAAGATAGGTCTTGAGATATTTGATGGATTTTTTTTTTTAATCTATTTAAATTTATGAATGAGTTTAATTAATTTAATTAATCATTTTTGTGCGTTAATTAATGTCGAATATCCCGTCTAGAATGGTCTAACACCCCTCCATATGTCGGTACAAGGCGAACACGTGGAGACGGCAAAAGTGCTACTCTCGGAAGGCGCACCTATAGATGACGTCACGGTTGATTACCTCACGGCTCTGCATGTAGCCGCACATTGCGGACATGTCAAGGTAATGAAATTTTGTCCCCTTATAACTACTAATCTTTCCATAGCTCCCTTAATCCCACATTATCTTTTATTTTACACCTAATATGTACTTAAGTAAGATCATGATGAAGATTCAGGCTGGATTCTATCTCTCATTTTCGTTTGGGTACATTTTTTAGGCGGAAATTAGAAGTTTATATTTTTGTACCTTTATGACGCTATATAGTGTAAGAGAAGATATAAAATTATGCGGCGAAAATATTAACTAAATTTGACAACTCGACCATGTTGTTCAGTGGTGGCGGGGTTTCCCCCCCAATTCAGGGGGAATTATGATGTCCAGGAGGATTGCAGGGGGTACTTTATTCAATTTTTAAAACGCACGACTCTACAATTTATATTAAGCCTCGAACCCGACCAACAAACTAATCCACATATAAACTCTATGTGTGTGTCTATAGCTGAAATATCAAAATACTCTATGTTTAATGCTTAAATAATAGATATAATAAGTAACACCTATTTTATACTACTTGAATGTTACTATTATTGAATTATTATACTACATAATATTTGAGAAAATTATTATTGATCACCCTCGCTCTACTCGAGAACGAAAATTTTAATTTCTTGTAAACCTCTGATTTCTTTGGTTGCACAGACTCTATAAGTATCAATACATTTCTTGAGGACATATTATGTATATGGGTACCAGGTAAATAATGTTGACAAATATTCGAAATTGATTTATTAATTTTAATTACTTTTATATAGCACAAATTCAACAAAATTAATGAAAATGAAAACTTAATATAATTAAAAATACTAATTATAGACAATACAAACTTACAGGTTGCCAAACTTCTGCTAGATAGAAATGCAGATGCAAACGCACGCGCACTCAACGGATTCACGCCTCTACATATCGCCTGCAAGAAAAACAGGCTCAAAGTTGTTGAACTGTTGCTCAAATATGGTGCTAGTAAGTGTATTAACATGTCCTATCTTTGTCTCTTTCAATCGAATTGTGTTTACGCTGTGTTGAAAAGAGAACTACACATAATAATATTTTAGTAGAATATGTCTATAAAGACTGTTGGCTTAATTTTTGATAGTCTATTGGAACTGCAAACCATAATTTGCCTTAAAAGTTCCTTTTAGTGATTTGCATGAGTGATAGAGGAATTCACATTTTATTGTATATAATAATAATGTATCTACACTAATATTATTAAAAAAAAATTAAAGATTTTTAACATTATTCCTGAGTACCATAAACTGTATATAAATGGCGGGGTAAGGCCCGTATCCTAGAACTTCTATCAATACCATCCGTATCACCTCGACGTCCGTCGTTTGACACAACTGAGCGGCTTTAAAAGGCAGTTTATGCCGCGCAACACCACTATGTGGAACCAGCTGCCCACTGAAGTATTTCCGAACCAATTCGACATAAGGACCTTCAAGAAAAGAACGTACCAAGTCTTAAAAGGCCGGCAATGCACTTGCTAGCCTTCTGGCAATGTGAGTGTCCATGGGCGGTTCACTTAACATCAGGTGTGCCTCCTGCCCCTTTGCCTCCTATTACATTAAAAAAAACTGAAATCTAGTTTCAAGAGCTGTCAAACCGTTTTTCTGTATGAAGTTTGACAGATACTTTTCTTCAGTCTAGTAAATAAAGAGAAACTACATATAGTCTTCTAATTTCAGGTAAATCAGCAACAACCGAGTCAGGTCTGACACCACTCCACGTGGCGTCATTCATGGGTTGCATGAATATTGCGTTGGTGCTGGTTGGCGCTGGTGCTGATGCAGATGCTGCTACCGCGAGAGGAGAGACCCCACTGCATCTCGCTGCTAGAGCGCACCAGACGGATTTAGTTAGAGTGCTGTTGAGGAATAATGCTAAGGTTGGTTGTCCTGATTTCTAAAATTATGATTGAGGAATAATTTATTGGAAAGTCGTGTCTATCTACTGTATCTATTAAATATGTTTAAATTTCTACACCTATAGGGTCATGTATTATGGGATAACTAAAACATATATTTGAATTATTACAGAAAGAGACAGACACAAGTTTGTTTAATAAAATTAAATCGCATTTTTAGACAATAAAACAGTATTCTCTTCTTACTTATTTAACACTTTATATTATACATATATGTATCTGTATTTTTTTAAATTTTGCTTCCAATTACGAAAATCCTATCGAAATTACGATCACCTAGTGTGTTACCTATAGGGTAATGAAACAACAAAAGCATAATAATATATTTGAATTATACAGAAAGAGACAGACATATACGTAAACTTTGTATTTAAATCAGTATTTTTTTTAAATTAAATTACGATCACCTAGTGTGTTACGGAATGGTCATAATAACATTGAAATTATACATACATTTTGACATTTTACCTAGTTGAGAAAATATATGTAAAATAACGTAAACCTTTGATTCGCTACAGGTTGAAGCTCGAGCCCGTGAGGAACAAACACCACTTCACGTTGCGGCCAGACTGGGACACGCGGACATAGCAGCGCTGTTATTGCAGCACGGGGCTGATGTTGCTGCTACCACTAAGGACAAATACACACCGTTACACATTGCTGCTAAAGAGGGTGAGATGATAATTATTAACGGTGTCAGTTGCAATTAACATCAGGTGATATAATAACAATATTGTAAGATTTCGTATTAGAAATAAGTTTACTATACGAACCAGCCTCCGTTATTCAGGACCCAAAAATAGTCTAAGTCAGTTTTAACGTGAATATAGGGTCTATAAAACGTAAATATTCTATTTGTTCTCAAATAATTTCAAAATAAACTTTGACAAATTAATCCATATTTTTCCCCAAATTAAGGAAATATGTTGTTTTTAAGTTAACACTGATTGAACTTGATATTGAATAATTAAGAATTACCTAAAGCTTATTAAAATACTAAAACAAAATAATAGGTAAAGAAGAAGTAGCAGCTATCCTAATAGACAACCAAGCGCCAATAGAAGCAGAGACACGAAAAGGTTTTACTCCGCTCCATCTAGCGGCGAAATATGGAGACATCGGTGTTGCCAGGTTGCTACTCGCTAGGGGTGCACAACCGGACGCCCCGGAAAAAGCCATATTACACCTTTACATATGGCAACATACTATGGGCATCCCGACATAGCATTGTTACTTTTGGACAAAGGTTTGTTTTATTTTAATCAGTCTTAATTTTTTGTAAATATGCTAATAGGTACTCAGAGTCATCCATTGAGTTAATGATTCATTAATTATTAAGTTTAACTATGAAAATCTTTCAACAATAAATACAGTAATATTTCACATAGTCCTTCAATAAAACATAGAATTAGTTAATTAGTTTCAGGTTTAAAAATATTATTTTCTCTGTATCCGAAAAAAAACATATAAATTACTAACCTAATCACATAAGCGTTAAATGGTTTTTGTTTTGGAGTTTAGTCTAATACAGCCTGTATTTAAACCACTTATTTAAGTGCAAGTGCAACTTCGGTACGAAATTGAATCCTAGAAGAATATAAGTGATTCTAAAGACATTCTATGTCTTGTCTATGTCTATCAGACATTTTTAGCTTCGGATTGGTTTTCTAAAATCCTTACTAGTGTAAGATTACATTTCATCAACTGATTTTATTATTCTAAAAATTCTTCTTAATAATGTTTGATACAGTATGAATAAATTATAATTATTTTTACATTTATAATTTAACGCATGTATAATGTATACGACTGTTTTGGTAACAATACCAAATGCTACAATCGTTATTTCTTCATTCGATTTCCAGATGCTATAGTATTCATTGCTAGATCCCATTTGCCACATTTAGCCCCACATTTTCTAGTCCCATTTGTGAACAGGTGCCTCCCCCCACTCGCTAGCTAAGAACGGCCACTCTGCCCTCCACATCGCGTGTAGGCACAACCATCCAGACATCGCATTTGCGCTCCTCGAACATGGTACGTATTGCAATAGTGTTTAGTGTCAGTTTTCTCTACACATTTCACCTTTTGTAATCACAATTCACATGTTTTCTGTAGTGCATACAAAAACACATTTAGTGAACTTCTATACACAACCTACCTAACATGTTTTGTTAGAAAAGTAGCGTTAAAAGCTGAAAATGTGATCCAGTTATTTTAAAAACTATACATGAAGTTTAATAAACTATATTATGATTATAACGCACCCAAGTTCGTATTTTAAGGCATACGTACGTGTTTGCCTATAACTTATTCCAAAGATTTCAATAAAACTTAACTGGGATAAAAACTAATATATTACTTTATTTGCTATCGTAGTCAGCGAGACGCAGCCACAAGTTGACAGATTATTTGATATTATTAGAGTTTATTGAAATTTTTCCATTAACGCCATCTATTGCCACGAAGTTGGTACTTGCAAAACTCCATGATATTTACATTAGTGCCCTTGCTTTTTAGTATGTTTTATGTAGGATTTCAATTCTTTTACAACTGGATTCCAGGAGCTGAAGAGTTATATATTATCCTTAAAAGATAAAGTAATATATATTTATTTCTAATTCTATGATATATAGATGCAGACCCAAGTGTAAAGTCGAAGGCTGGTTTCACACCACTTCATATGGCTGCGCAGGAGGGCCATGACGATTGTGTAGAAATGCTTATTGAGAGAGGCGCTGATGTCAACGTTCCAGCTAGTAACGGTAAGTTCTTCAAAACTAGACAACATTATAATCAGTCTATCGTAACGGTAAAATATTTATCTATATTGTTGATAAATATTTTAAAAACTTTCATCCATTTTGCTATATATATTTATATTTTGTACAGGTTTGGTTCCAAATTAGGTTCCAGATATGAGCCTGTAGTGTTTGCTATTTGTGTGTAGCTCACTGGCTTGAAAACTTACCTTCTGCGTACTCGCACATCCGACCCTCGTTATCTTCAGACAAATGAATAAGCATTGATAATAATAATAACACTATATACTATATTAAAGAATAACACAAATAAGGAGAAAAATACAATTGAATAAATGAAGACAAAGGATGCAAATCCTTAAAGATCCCACATCTTACTGCTAAAAGAATTTTCATACAAGACATTGATAGTGGTTTGGGTGACAAATAAACTATACAACCGTATCTCTGTTTAATTGCAGTATGAAATGATTTGAAATTTTATTTATTCATTCATTTACACTTTATGACACTATATAAAAACGATTTACAAAAAAAAAACCATTACATAGTGCAATGGGCGGCGTTATTGCTATGACGCGATCACTTTCAGGTAACCCTAATCACAGCAAATATAATTGTAAGGAAGTGCAAAAGTGCGAAGAAGACGAATAATAATAGTGATTAATCACTTAAATTATTACGTATTATAGAAAACCGGATAACCTAAAATAAAATAGAGACATAAAACCAAATGTAAAAAAAGCAATATTTTACAGTTACTAATCAATCATTGTCGTCAGGTCTTACTCCAGTACATTTAGCAGCATCCGAAGGCAGGACGGCTGTACTCAAGTCACTGTTGGCAGCTGGAGGGCGCTGTGCTGCAAGAACACGAGATGGGTAGGTTTTTATAGATTTTTCCTTTATCCATAAGGTTTCTAATGTTTCCGATTGCTACTTTTAATTCTTCTTATCGAAATTGTTCGCACGTATGTATAGATTAATATTTCTTTATTATAAATTTTTTATTTTTATTATAGAACATAAGATACAGGTATCACTTATTCCACGACATTAAATTTCAATCTGTAGGCATCACTACTCATCGGCAAAGAAGACAGAGGGTATAGGCCGAGAGAAAAAGCCGGCATAAAAAAATCCCGGTACTCTTTTAATATAGCAAATCATCAAACAACACTTATTTTAAAACAAATATCGAAAATTAATTAGAAGTAGCCTGTCTAGCACTAGTCCCAGGACCTTTTATCAACTAGATAATCGTTAATAATAAAGAAAAATAATAAATAAGTAAATAACTACCCATTTTAATTTAAATGTATGTGTTCAGATATACGCCTTTACATGCGGCTGCGCACCACGGACACCACGCCGCTGCTAAGACTCTTCTTGAAGGCGGCGCTGATGTCACTGCCACGGCTGCTCACGGGTAACGATTTAGTTATATTTGTTCATATGAAAAGACAATTTACAAAATCCATATTAATTCAAGAATACCTATATTTGTTACATTGTTAATGATAGCTATTGTTTCATGTTTAAATAAAACTATATAAAACGAATTATTACATTATTTACATAACCTTTAAAATGATTTTCAGTCAGTAGTCGGCGATATACTGGTAGGATTGTGTCGAGTCATTTTAAATCGATGTCGAGTTATAATTGTAGAAGTTATGAAAGTATTAAATGGAATCCAATTTTTGAAGTTCTTTAGGCGCATGAGGGTAATTTTTTTACGGATGAAACGCAATAATAATAATATAAGGGTAACGACGATGTGCAGAGAGCGATTAAGAGAGAGTGAGAAAGGGCGAATGTAGCATGAAGCAAATAGCCATGTAGAGAAAGTAGGGAGGAAGCAAGTGAGAAAGATCCAGAGCGAGAGAGTGAGATAGAGCTAACGTCGCATCACGCACAGTGCCATGGAGCGAGAGGTGGGAGAGAGCTATAGTGAGAAACATTAGGAGAGAGTAAGGGAAATCGAGAAAAAATACTCGCTATTGGTTGATGTATTCGTTTAGTAGTTACATATTAGAACTTTAGATGGCAATTCTGTCGCATAACGTCCTGTGCAGTAAACGCAGATTTTTTATTTATTTATGTTATAATTAGCACGTATACAGTGTGTAAACAGTGAATATAGATATACAAATACATGGAGTGATCATATACTGGTACATGATCATCTATTGGGGCTTTTACCTTAGTAATAATTAATTTACAAAAAGTTTCACTTCTGACATGTGGGCTTTGTATGCACGCACTTTTTTTAATATATTTTTTCCTTCAACAGGTTCACACCTTTACACCAAGCGGCGCAACAAGGCCATACTCTTATCATTCAACTTCTACTTAAGAACAATGCTGATCCCAACGCACTGTCTGCGGTAAGCTTCTGTTTAGTGTTTCTTGGGTGTTATAATAGATGGCGTTGTGCGACATTATGGATAATGAATTGAAATACAGTTTTTGTTATATACTCTTTATTGTTATGCACTAGATAAAGTATTTCTTGGTTATGAGTACAAATACCTCTAAATAGTCCGTACGTACTTACAATACCTCCGAGAAATTTAATGCAATCAATTTGGAATTTAAAAAAAAATATAAATAAAGTGCGGTTCCTGGGTCATTGGGGTGCTTTAAATAATAGAGGAATTATTTTTTGTACTCTATATTAACCACTCGAGTACAAAATATAAACGAAATAATGCAATGTCAATTCCTATGTAACAGTTGAAGAGAGTGTCACGTCTGGCTATACTCTCGGGGCGTAACTCCGACGATATAAGTAGTCGCCACGCTTATAAAACTAAGAATGCCCTGAGTTAGCAAAATGTACAGCCTTGGCGCGTACAGTTTGACTTGTACGGATTTAATATTGTTAGTTGTTAGTTGGGACAATGTCCACGAATTTCTCGATATAAATATGATCCTTGATATAAAGCAGGCATTTTCCAACCTAGGCGAAAATCGATCAAGTAGTTCTTAAGATATGCTCGTTTTTTGGAAGAAATAATATCGGTGAAAATTTTATCATGTATTTTTTTTTAATTAATGATATTATGTTAATAGGTTTTTATTACCTTTTTGAACAGAATGGCCAGACAGCATGCGCAATAGCAGATCGTTTGGGATATATTAGCGCTGTAGAGGCTTTGCGGCCACTCACCGAAAACACACTAAGCCAAACTGTAGGTGACAACGGTAAGTACATAGAATAATATAATCTTTCTTTCTTTCTTGAACGCTCATAGTTTTTCTTGTGTAGGTTTGAAAAGTTGTAAAATATTACGTATTTAAAACATTGCAATTGCCACATGTTTTTACTAATGAGTGCATTTTTTTTTAAAGATTATTCGTGGCAGTTTAATTTTAAAGCAGAGCCCTCTATCTTGCCCAATTATGAACTAAACCATTTACATGCCTTCAAAGGCACTCAAACAGTTTTAAAAGAATTTTAAGTATTATTTAAGACTGTATGTACTCAACATGTTGTTGATTTATTAACATATGCCCGTCAAATTTCATATTCTGGTGAAAAACAACAGCCTGAGGTATTGCGTCTGCGCATATCTTTGATCTAAATAAAGCTCAACTAAATTTAATAGTATCCGCCAACCGTGCATAAATTGAAAACTGGATACTGGCCAACTAGGTACAACTGACCGAATAATCGATCATGTTTTACGAGATTTTTATGGGAAAATAAACTTTATTATAAGTCTATTAGTTCGAATGTGCGTTGAAGATGTTTTGAAGTAGTCGATCTTTTCAATATATGGGATAATTGTATTGCAGTAATGGTTAATGGATATAGAGAATTATCAAGGTACTGCTTAAGCTTTTTATAGACAATGTACCGTTTAGAATTTATGCGTTCTAAATTTAATTTTTGTGACAATTTACACCCGGAATGAGGTGGACGGAAATTTACATGCCATTCTTATAAAAAAATATGCATCAACACAATCGACCTCCCTAGTGGCGAATGATGACATAAAACCTGGTATAGTTGTGAATACTTTGTCTTCTACATATAATTCTTCTTCTATTTCTAGTATCTACTCATACAAGTTTATTTAGATTCCTCCTGTTCAGCTCTGGTAATAAAACTGAAGTGAATAACAGCTGCAATAAATTATTACTCACTGACCATCAATGAATTTTCTTTATATGCGCAAGGACACTTGCTTGTATGGAGGTGGAAAACATCGTGGATATCTTAGACCTAATATCGACGTGTCTGGCACCAAAGAGCTAATCTACTTTCCTATATAGACAAATATGGGTCTGCCATATTCCTCAAGGGCTTACTATACTATACTAATGCTTAATTTTATAATATGGCAAAATTTCAAATAATGATATTTAAAATGTAATGGAAAGCTTTCTACGAATATAAAACAAAAAACTTGATAATTTTAAGAGTAACAGATTATCATTCCTCTCATTCATTTGAGAACTGGCAGTAACATTAAATTTAGAATTATTTTCTTCACGTAAAGTTCATAAAAATATACACGTTACCGACATGATAGTTTTTGATTTTGTATCAGATTACGTCATATTTTTAATTAAGTTAACATGACAATGCCCACAATCAGATTGTGCATTGTAAGCAAATGATCGGCCCCCAACAATGCATCATTACTTACATAATTCATAAATGTATGACAATACCACGTATTCGTTCGTAACATGTAAACTACGAATTATTGTTTTCCATATGGGCCGTAGGATGACGATAAGATTAAGCTGTATTGGTTAAAATTATCAATTTTGTTCCTAATTAAAAAAATCTTATAATAAAAAATTTCACAATTCTATAGTCATTCTTATAATAATAACGAATAATTTTTTAAACCTTTATAGGACTCGGTAAACCTTGTAACAAAACAGAGTGAATAGAAAGGTATATAATAATATTGTTTTTTTATAATTTATACATATAAATGGGAAAATTTAATCTTAAAAACAATTATACAATTGTCAGAATCAATCGCCTCTCGATTTTATAAAAAATAAACAGGTAAAAATAGCAGTTGCTCGAACATAATAATAATAAAATACAAGAAGTATTTCATTCATTTTTACATTTTACGGTCTGGGCCTCAGATTTATGTATCGTGTTTCGTTAGTTAGTTTTTTCTAATAGTCAAGTAGGTGATCAGCATTATGTTTTCCTTCACCGTGCGTGCGCGAGTGATAATAGCACATAGACAGAAAGTCAATTGGTGCACAGTCGGGGTTCGAACATACGAAATCAGCGATGAGAGTCGCACTCTGAAGCCACCTGGCTAACACTGCTTGTGTTATTAATATTAGTGTTTTCTAGAAATTATGGTCACTACCACAATTTCATCGAGTACTTTTCATTACATGTTCGATGTATGGTCATTATCTAATCTTATTCGATTACATCAGATGCTACATTGTCTGGAGCTTTTTATAAGAACAACATCCAATATTTATGTTACTATTATGTCCTTACTTACTTTAGGGTAAAAGTCACACAAAAGAAACAAAACAAAATATTATTTTCTATTTCATGCTTGATAGGATCAAGGATGATACACTAACAAATTGTTATTATTCTAGAAAAAGGGGTTTTATTTTTTTATATCTACGGCTTATAATACGGCCAAAATTCTTCAAAAACAATCGTTTTAACAAGGTAATTTCCGATTAAAAAAACTCAAGTTCATTTTATATATATATGTTTTATTTTCTAATTCGGATATTGATTATTTCCATTCTAATGCTTTCTAAGTAACTTAAATAATTATATGTTGGAAACAACGATCGTGAAATCGAATACACCACACCCTTTATTAAACACTTGACACTCTGAAATTTTACGACTTCCTTGGTCCGATGATGACACTTGATAGTTATACTTTATAATCTACGCCTTAAATAATTCGAGCTTTTTAATGTTTTGCGTTGTCATGGGTAACGGTTTTAAATATTAATGTTTCTGTATTAAATTTTATTACGTCATAGCTTCTTCAACTTTATTCTTAATTTGAATTTTCCAGACGCGTTTATAAATAAAGGCTTTACCTGGTAGGCGATGACGTCATGCCTAGATATAGCCATTACAATTCGTAATGACTATTTCCATATATGCATAGAGTCTCAAATTTAGTAGAGTGTTTTAAAATAGTTTTATTTAGATAATTTAAATATGAATAAAATAGTTTTTCTTGTAATAAATTGTGTGTTTACTATTGCTGTATAGAAAATAAACGTTAATTTGTTTACATATTTTATTTCTATATATTATGTTAGACGCGTTAATAATAATAGATTTCTAATAAATAGAATTTTATTCAACCGAATCCAAGGTAACTAGTAAAGGTTAACTGTCTGGTTGTTATTTATGACTGAGTTTCTATAATTATCGTGTTATTCTACGAAATGTTTTGTCCATAAAACAATGAGAGTTTAAACTAATTATTTTGTTTGTTTAATGACTTAATTATATAGAATGTCGTAGTTCGGCGTTTAAATTGATTTACGCAACGATTTATATTTTTTTTGAAAGTACATTTAATGGTTCAAAATAAAAAATAATAATTTATATATTTAGGTAGCCATTCTCTTGTATAACAAATACAAATCATAAACAAGATTACAGGTAGAGCGATTAGTAGCTATATTCTAAAAATATAAATATGTCTAATACTTGAATGACTTTTTAATATATACAAGGTTAAAAATGCGAATTAGTATCCTTATCTTATGTACTTATTGATAAGGCGCGTGAAGTACAAATTAATTACTTAGATAAACTTAATTGAAATTTTTCAAAAAACGGTCAAGTTTATCTTAATGATCGTGAAAATTATATTTTACAGTTGTCTTTTAACTTTCAAAATTCGTTTTGACGAAATATCTTACCTTCATATCGAAGAACTCCGAATTGTTTAGGCATTCATGGAAAATGTCATACTAATAAATACATAAAACAAATGATAATTGCATTAAAACAAATGCCACATGTTTCTGAATCATCATTGAAAATATATATATTCATTTGTTATGAACTCAGTTTAAACTTTTTGCAACCAAACCGGCTGATATCCAGTCGCGAATCAACCGCTCACGGCGTTTCACGTATTCATCAAATCCAGTGTTGCCATAACAGGTTTAAAAAGTTCTGATTGGTATGTGATAATTCGTGAAAATTTTGTGATGTGAATTGGTGAAACGGAAAGTTGTACGGAAAATAAATATTGTTGTAAGGTAAGATTATTATTATACAAAATAGAGACCTTGGTTTCTCTCAAACTCAGGCTTACTGTGAGTTACGGTACGAATATTCGGCGTTTTGTTTAAATTTATTAACGTGAAGTAATATGACATGATATATTATGATGACGATAGAAATAATAGACTTTACGTTAATTCAAAGCCTTTTTAGTGGACATTACATATAGGTTCTGATAGCATGACAATGACATTCATGTTATTTATCTATGGTTATTTTATAGTATATATGTAAACATAGTAAAACTTAAGCATTTTTCTTGAAAAGTTAAACAGTACAGAAAATATTCACCGAGTATAAACACTATTGTCTAAAGTGTATAAAACTAAGATATTTTATTCAGCGAAAATTTTCAGAATGTTTTGTCTAATGGCATGCCGCCAAACTTTATAACTGGATTTAAAATCGCGTATACTATACGTTTAAAGCTATTTTTGCGAAACTTGTTTCACCAGTGAGATGCGAAGTTGTGATCTATTGATACAACCTGTCTTGCCTCTTCTACAAAGCTTAATCTACAGTTACCGAGGTTTCTTTAACGGCCCGTTTAGAAACCAGAAGAGTCAACAGATTTTGAATAACTCGAATAATTTCTGTTTATGGAATTGTCAAGATACAGCCTTATAAGTCTTCTTGCGTCTAATTTCGAACATATATTGTTTTGGTCCTTGCCAACTCTATTCCACTAAATATACTTTAAAATTTACTTCTGTGAAATAGTTATATGTTTAAATAGAATTTGAAACAAAGAGACAGGGAGTATGGGCCTTAATTTTTGTTAATACTGGACAAAAGTTGCAATATTAGTAGTAATAAGATTAGTGGTAGCATAGTATCAAAAACTAATACACACGAACAAATATTTACGACTTCTATTATAGTACTCGATATAATAATATTGTAAATGAATTCCAGTTTTAATAGTAACTAGAATTGTAATGGTAAGCG